TCCCCGTACACCGTTGGAGTTAAATTGGCCTTTTATCTACATAATTCTATTAAGCTCTCCCATCAACGGTTACAGTACTTAGAGTAAAAAATATCTTCATGTAGTTTTTCAAATTAATTTAGTAAATTTTTCAAATAAAGGTCAGAGTTCGTGTTAAAAGACCCGGTGAACTCTGTTCATGTATGATTTTTATGACATCAATAATAACAACAAAAAGTATACGTGCGTGATCGATACAGGTGCGCAACAAACAATCTTGCCATTTTATGTTAAAATAATGCTTGGGAGAAGGGGATGGAGTACGCTTGAAGCAAGAGCCAAGGGTTATGTAGGCAAATTTGTGCGTGTCAGATGTTTGAGGTATCTATTGGTGATAATGATAGTTGGACCAAATGGGTTCAGGCCAAAATTGTACTCTGGGAAGAAAATCCTGGTAATCAGGTGGAATATGCTCTCATTGGTAATGACGTTACAGATCAACTAGCATATGTACGTACGTACATGAACCAGGGAATCCGTTAAAGTTTTTAGATGTTGCGGATGAGACTAGGCTTACCATGTTTTTAAATGGATGCAGATAATTCCTAATTAATAATCTGGTTGCTAATCATTGACTAGATAGGAATTCCATATAAAAGTATAGCAAGAATGATATTGCTTCATAAATATAACTCGAGAACCTAATGACAGTTAATTAACCAATCTCGTACTCTTAATTAGTGTTCATAACATGCATGTTGAGGTTTGCGTAATTACCAAATTTTTAAAATCAATTAAAAAAAAATTAAATGAGTTTTTTGTAACTTTACTGTGACATTGATATCACACTCTTTCGAGCATAACTATAAGTTTTTTCGATTCTGATCTTCCATGTACAATAAAGTACCGAATGAATTTTACATGTGATAATTTGAACAATATACGAATTTCTAATAAAATTATAATTTGCCCGAATTCTGGGCCTTTAATTAACCATGTGGCAGGAGCTATAAAGCATTCATTATTTTTACATCGGGCTTATAAAGTCTTGTCACGGGTCTTTTCCGGTTTCTCTCTTATATAATCTAGAAAAAAATTTATCAGTTAAAATGCTTGGTAAATCAATTAATTTATTATACCAATCATAATATTCGGGAGTTAAGATTTTATTCTCCTCTGAAGTTGTATATTCTTTAACTATTTCCTTGAATGAAATGCCTAGTTCTTTAGAATTATCGTGTTCAAGTATTGTTTCGATTATAAATTCTTCACTTAGACGCCTGATTTATGAACTCCTTAATTTTTTATTCTTTCGGGGATAACTATTTCTGGTTTTCATCATACCATATCTCAAGAAGAAAAATTCTGTTATCTTGGCATATGCATCTTTTTCTCCGATCACGATTTACAACATCCTCAAGTTTTTGATATCTTTATACCAGCTAGTATTACGGAGTCGATGCTGAGCCCCTTGTACCTCTAATGCAATTAGGTGTTTTTGAAAGAAGGCATCAAAGTTCTAATCCTTCCATAAAAGATGGACAATATTTAACTACGGGTTCCTTATTAAGAAGTATCTGGGATATTAGAATACATTTCTCCTGGAAATTTGCAATTTTTCTTAGATTCAATTTCTTTTTTAAGTTCATCTATATCCTGTTTTAACTCTATATTCTCAGTTTTAATTTTGATATTCTCCTTTTTAAGTTCAGTAATCTTGTCCATCAACTTCGAATCTAATTTATCAATCTCAGTTTGTGAATATTCAGAAGTTTTAGAGCTTATCCAAGAATCAAATCCAGTTTTTTTTTTATATCTTTTATATAACTTAGAACGCATCTTATCTGTCAAAATGCTTGGTAATTCAGTTAATTTAGTATGCCACTCCAAATATTCAGGGGTTAATACTTTATAAGTTTTTGATACTATGCTCTGCTTTTCCATGTTAACATTTTAAATTAAATTCAAATTAGATATTAACTTTTTTGTAAAAATTCTGGTATAATAACATATTAATTGTAGAGAAAAAATCTTGAAACAGACATGTAAAAGTAAGCTAAATATGTATGTGCTGAAATTGGCCACCAAGGTCTGCTTTATTGATAGAAAAGAAAAAAAATTTTATTGGAAATCTACAGGACAACTATGGGATTTTTTTATATTATAGCATTATAGATACATAGTAACTATAGGAAAACTGTGGGATAACTACAGGATTTTTGTTTATTAACTACAAATTTTAAACTATCATTATCATTATTACTAAATCACTAATCTTGATTTATTTAATTACAGTATCAGTATCATTAGTATCAAATTGTTTGCTCATTTATTTTTATTTATCATTAATTATTTAAGAATTATCATATTCACATTGCCTATATATGCCAACTGCTACTTTTTTGCATGTTTTACAATATAGATGTGAATGATAATTGCATTCATCACAAACCTTACACCTGTGCTTCTATTTTCTAAAGATATATCACTTTTCAAAGTAATTTTGGTTGTTTTTACATGTAATTATATTATTCTAATCTTTTATTGTTTTATTTATTACAGTATTAACAGAAAAAATATAATGTAGTTATTTTTTTTATACAAATATATTATGCATAAGCCAGTAAGCCAGAATTATTTATAGAGAATTTTTTGTATTCAATATAAACATTTTTGTACATAAAACTAATTATTTTATTTATATAGAACATAAGGTAGGCATGCCTAATTGATGCAGTACCTAATTTGATGCATGATGATATCTTGAAATCTATTGATCAAAATTGCATGATTTTGGTACCATTCAATTTGTCTTATTGAGATGAATTGAATAGTATCAAATTATGAGATTTTGATCGATAGTTTTCGAGATATTTTATTTACTAAAATAGCTCAAAACAAGTTATCTAATTTGATGCAAGTAAATGTTTATAATAAATATCATGTGATGCATCAATCAGAATTGCAGGATTTTGGTACCATTCAATTCGTCTCATCAAAATGAATTGAATGGTATCAAAATCTTGCAATTCTGATCGATACATTATATGATATTTATCATAAATATTATACCTACATCAAATTAGGCACTACATCAAATTAGAATCTTTTTTTTAAACAATCTTTAATAAGTGATATTACATAATTTGGTAATTAGAATTGGATAATTTTGTACCATTCGATTTGCCTTAATGAAACAAATCAAATGATATCAAAATTATCTAGTTCTGATTGATATATCATGTAATATTTAGCAAAAATGTTAGCTGCACCAAATTAGATATATCTACCTTATAGAATGCAAAAACTTTTTACATACATATATACAGTTTATAAACTGAAAATTATGATCTTTGGAGGTCATGTTCACATGATTTATACAAATGATTCTGTAAGGTTTTTATTTAGAATTTGAGATATTATATTGTTAATCTGTTTACAGTTAATTTAGATATCATTAATATAGTAAAAGACTTCAACTATATATTTTATTTATTCCTATCTTACTGAAAAGATAAAAGATTTTTGGGTGGTTTTTTTTTCTTTTTTAGATAGTAGTTTCAAAAGTACTATTAGAAAGTTATTTTTAATTTCATCATTTATCTCACTATTAGTATTATTTATATTATAAGATTTTCGATACACTATGGATCAGGGATGGTAAATGACCTTCAAATGACCTTCAAATGACCTCAAATGACCTCAAATAACCCCAAATTTATTATGAATTTTAGTCTGAAATGACCTAGGTCATTTGAAAAAAAGGTAAATGACCTCCAATTTTACCATCCCTGCTATGGATAGTAGCAAACAAACTAAACTTACAAATACTAATCGATACAGTTAATTCTTTCTACACAATGACAGGAATTACAGTCAACTCACACAAATTCATACTAGCTACCAACTACAAACCAAAGAACAAAGAGGAATCTGCGCATATTATATTTAATAATACCAAGATATACTCAATATTACCTAAATACTGCTTTTAATTTCTCAGATGTTACTACAATATTCATATCAATAAAACAATAATACAACAAAAGATAACAAAAGAAATCAAAGAAGCCTTAAAACTACTCCACAAATCAACAATCACAGAGAAACAAGCGATATATATAATCAATACAGTCATCATAACATACTTCAAATACCAAACACAAAATTATATATATGCCCAACTACAATACGATAAACTTACAAACAAATATACTTCAATCACCAAACACAAGGCTGGCATGTCCAGAGCCATACTCAACTCAACATTCTACAACCACAGAATATATGTACTCAGGACACTATGAAACATACAATACCAACACCATATAAGCAAAATGACACAACAAATAAATGATCCAGACCTATATAACTCATCACTATATATACATATACAACAAATACAAAATGCGGTAAACACAAATACATCAATACTAGCCAACTCAATATACATACTTCCTACAATAGAACATAATACAACTACAGCTAAGAGGATCCAGATACTACATGATAACCACTTCACAATAATAAACAATATCAGCAAGTGGCCTAAGCCTCTTCTAAACAAAGGAAACAGTATAAACAAAATATTCACAGACCCAATATTATATATAAACAAAATTAATGCCCAACAACTAAAGACCAAACTCAATTAGCACAAAATTAATTTTATCGAACAGCTAACAAACTCAAACAATATACAAACAATTAACTGAAAAGAAACACCACATGCAATACACAAAATACCAACAGGCAGAGAACTGACATGGTTCAAAATAATCACAAAAATAATTGATACACAAATCTAGTAAACAAACTAGCTAATACTACAAACACCAAACCTATACACAATCAACAACAAAGAAATAACTAAAAACAAATAAATAATGATGCAAATAAAAAACCAAACCATAATTAAAAAATAACAACAATACAAAACCAAAACAAAATAAAATTAACATACTGGATATATACAAAAGATAAACACCAACCACAACAACTCTCAAAGGCCAAAGTTTCGTATTTGCAGAGATAATCAGTATAGCGAATTGGCTACTTATATATTACTGTACTGGTGAGATAACTCATGCTCTATTAAGTATATTATATGACATCCCAGGTTCCTAGTGCCACAATATAGGATTTACATTCTCTAGATCTACAGTTTTCTAACTTCACATGACTCACAAACCAGATCATCCTTTTATATCTGATATCCTTGATTCTAGTAATCCTTAAGCTGGGTTTTCTCAATTTTAGTGTTGTTTGTTAACAGATTATGTTTAATCTGGTCATCCCTGGCCCCATGGCTATGCCAACAAACTGCAACTTGTACAAATCTTGTTCTTCATTTTTTAATGAAAATTCTCTGAAGATTTTAGCCAATTGTGGTCCTGGCAGAGTCATTTGTCACCTAGTAAACTTGAACTTGCAATCTTGCAATTGTGACCTGAGAGCATTAACCACTATGCTATTGACCCACAGGTCAATATATAAGTATTTAAATATATATATATATATATAATCAATATAGAATTATATATACAGTAGCTATAATTATTCTGTTAATCTATATAATTTTTCATATACAATATACATAATTCATTGTGCTAATTTTATCTTATATTTATTTTATTTTTTTCTGTATACAAATATTTTTTTATAAAACCTAATTAATATTTAACTATAATTCTTTGTGATCTTAAACCTGCATTTTTTCAAGAATATAGTTTATTCATTTTATAATGTTACTTGGAATCATGCTAATTTCTTTTAAAAGATCAAGATAGTTTAAAGCAATGATCATTATGAATGCAATAGAATTTTTTTCAGTATTAAGATTTGTAAAGATATAATTAATTATCAAATTAAGATAGGTATAATGCAGATTGTTATTAGAATCAATAGGTTAGTTAAGTTTCAAATAACATTCCTTTGTAACATCAGCTTCTTTAAACTTTTGTTCCTCTTTATGCATAATCTGCTACTTTTTGTTTTTGGTTTTACAAGATTTAGAAATTTACTATAAATAGTATTATTAATTTGTTGTACTATATTACTTATTGCTTAGTAGCAAAACTGCTAAGTCTAATAAAAGCAGATATAAAATTAATTACTAAATTAAAATTTTATTATATGTATATTTAGTAAATAACTTATTTATACATGATATAATATTTTTCAATACTGAAGTTACTGCTATGTGATTGAAATATATTAAACCATATATGTAAGTAAATTATTCACTATACACCCATATAATAACTATAATTTATCATTATAAATTACTTACAAGTGAATAAACATTCTTATTAAAATAGCATTTATAACTACAATATTTGATTTTACTTTGAAATTCATTCTTTTTTATATTTGATAGCATGTCATAATATATTTTTATAAGGTGTTTATCAGTTGAATACTTTATTTTTTTAATTGCATCATAAATTGCTTTAGTAATAGCACCTTATTATGAAATTAAAATATTATTTAATATAATTAATACTTCGATTTATCAAAAAACACAAATTTAAATGTTATTATTATATTTACATTGATTTTGTATATTTGCAAGACCACTTATATATCAAATAATCAACTTCATTAATATCAATTAAAATAATAAGACAAATTTTATATATTAAAATTAACTTTAACATTATTTTTCATTATTAATATTATCAATATAAATTAAAACTAATTCAATTAGGTTGATATTAATGAATATCAAGTATATATCCAATTATTGTATATCTTTATCCATTTTAATTTCTTTTCTATATTATTCTCAGATCTGATTTTCTAGTTAATATGTAATTCATTAAATTTTTTTGTATTTCTTGAATGATAGCAAACATTTGAAGTTGCATATTATACATGTTTACAATGGTTGAAGCCAACCCTAAAAATATAAATAAAAAATGATATAAATTAATAATTATTAG